GGGAAAGAGCCTCGGGGGGGGGGGAAGGGGAGGAAATGATGAATCCCGGGAATGGATCGAGTGATGCCCGGAGGCTCTCATCCGTGACCGGTGATGCCAGGAGAAATGCTCTCCAAGTCCACCGTGGCAGCCAATAGAGGACTGCATCTATTATATAGCCTCCTATGTAAATATAGGATTCCCCAAACCACTGACATCCCGAAATAGGATCCATGGCTGCACAGGCATGGGGCAGCCCAGTTCGCCTCTTCATTCCACTCATAGGACATCCATGGTTGGTGTGGTCTGGATCATCAGATTTCTATTAAGAGATAGCAGTGGAAGACAGTAGGGCCTGGCGTGCTCTGGTCCATGGGGTCACGAAGAGTCGGGCACGACTAAACGACTAAAGAACAACAATTAAGAGATATGCACCCACTTCCCCCAACACTAATGGATTTCTGTGAGGGATGTTCCTTGCCCTGCACATCCGTCCGGGTCCCTGCTGAATAAGCGACTCCTCTCTTCTTTGGGGGAGAGATTGAGAAACAACTAAAGAATAACAATTAAGAAATATGCACCCACTTCCCCTGACACTAATGGATTTCTATGAGGGACGTGCCTTGCCCCACACATCTGTCTGGGTCCCTGCTGAATAAGTGACTCCTCTCTTCTTTGGGGGAGAGATTGATTTGCTTTTGGTTGGCTTTTGTGGGGGGGGGGGGTTAGTACTGGATTTGTGCATTTCTGGTTCCCTGTGGGGGAGGGGGAACCATTCCTGTTGTTGGAAAACACAAAAAGAAGGACATGCTGATAGACCGCACAGTACAGCCATGACAGAAGAACGCTGGTGTTAAACGGGTTTGGTTTGGTTGAGTTTGAGGCACAGTCTGTGTTGGGGTTGAATTCGAAATTCGTGACCGAACAGGGCCTTGCAGGTTGATTCTGCAGCTTTTACCCTTGAGCTGAGAAGTGGGCCCTTGTGACGTCGCAACGACCCAAGAGCATGCGTTGAGTTCCCAAGGGGGGGGGGAAAGCAGGTACCTCACAGTGGGCTGAGCCCTGGTGATAAGGTCAACAACCCCTGCGATAGTGAATATGCTAAGATAAACTCTGAATTATAGGTGGAGTTAGAATAGGTATCAGAACATTTGTCCAGCTATGAGTACAGTACGTACTGTACATACAGGTTTCTGTTTTAGTATGTACAGCACTATGCATCCTTCATTCTCGAGAGACTATGGTAATGTGCTCTGAATAGAGGACTTGGAACAGCATCTAGTGTGGCTGAGAAGGCCAATTCGAGAGTGACAATCCCTTCCACACGGATGACAAATCCAATCTGTCCCCTGTCCAGCTCCCTGATTTTGCTGCTTTCGGGATTGCCTCTTTGCCTCGGCCTGCTGGACAAGGGTCTCTTCAAATTGGGAGAGGCCGTGATGCACCACCTGCCTCCGGGCTGAACGATCAGATGTCAGGGTTTCCCATCTGTTGAGGTTCCGTTTAATACACAAATATATAAGTTTAGGGCTCCCTTCAGGCACATTTTCTTCTTGTAGGATCCTTTATACGCAACACATCCCCTGCCTGGAACAACCTACAGTAGTGTGAAAGTATATGGAAGCCCAATCCTGATTAGAAAAGCAGCCCAAACTAAGTCCAAGAGTGCAGAATTTACTTGAAAGAGCAACACATTTGGTCACAATAATTAGGGGAATTTATTATTCCCCCACTTCCCCACTTTTTTTTTTCCAAAAGAGGGGGAAGCAACAAAAAAAAGTTTGGGGTCTACATACAGCTCGCCGATTGCATCTTATTCAGCAGGGACCCGGACGGATGCGGGGGGCAAGGCACGTCCCCCCATAGAAATCCATTAGTGTCGGGGGAAGTGGGGGTGCATATCTCTTAAGAGAAATCCAATAATCCATACCAACCAACCAAAAAACTGGAAGACAGAACGATGGATGACCTGTGAGTGGAATCAAGGGGCAAACTGGGATACCCCATGTCTGTGCAGCCATGGATCCTATTCCTTTCGGGATGTCAGTGGTTTGGGGATCCTATACAGCATTTACGTAGGAGCCTATAATATTTATTTATTTATTTATTTATTTATTTATTTATTTATTTATTTATTGTTCTAATTATCTCCCGCCTATCTGGTCGTTATGACCATTTCATAATAGATTGCCATGGTGGACTTGGAGAGCATTTCTCCTGGCATCACCGGTCACGAGCAAGAGCCTCCGGGCATCACCGGTGTTCATTCATGCAGTCTGCTGTCTAAGTACATAAAAATGGCTGATGAGCAACTTTAAGGCTCTTGTTGCTTTCTTATGACTTTATAAAGTCTTTACATTGGATTTGAACCAGGCAGCCCTTCGTGTAGTATAGCTATGAGAAATCTCTAGTCTGCAGGCCTGATTCATGAAATTTCCCAGCCCACACTGCAAGGCTTGTTTCTTTCATAGTGTACCCTTCCTTTGGGATCCCCGTTGTGCTGGTTTCTCCCGCGCGGTGTTTGTCGGCCAGGTCGGGGGCCCCTGGAAGGCTGGCCCTTCCTTCCCTCCGGGGTCTGACGCCGTGCAGGCGCCGCCGCAGAGGAGCTGCTGGGGGAGAAAACAAGCCCGCCGCCTAAAGGTTCACACCGGCCTCCTCGTCGCCGTTTCTTGCAGGATTTCGGGTCCGGCTGTGTTGTTTCCCTAGAGAGGAGCCGCCCCCCCCATCCCGTCCCACTGAAGTCTGCCATCCTGCAGGCGGGGTTCCTTGGGGCTGCGTTACTTCTGAGTAGACCTCCCTCGGATTGCACAGTCCAGGTATTGTGCCCCTCCAGGGTCCGGGTGTGTGTGTGAGGATGCTAGGGAGGGTTAGGATGTTGCCTGAGCCCCACCCCGCCCTATATTTTGTCAATCTCTGATTTGTGATTGCTGGCCTGGCGATCTGCATTTTGTCACATCCTAGGGCAATTTCCTCTCATGGTCAATGAAAAAAAAGGCATTTTGATTCCCTGATATGAGCATAAGATTACTACTTTTACCTTGTTTGGTCGTGAAATACTTTTTCTGGTCCCTCCCATGTTTTAGTAACAGTTTGCAAGGAATAAAACTCTGCAGTTTTCCCTGTTTTAATTATCAATCTCAGTTTTCCCTATTTTTAGAGGTCTGAAATGCTGGTTTGTGCCGAAGATCCTGTGCAGGGGGGAAAATCAGATTTTGAAAATCCTCTAATTTTAGATTTTGCAGGAATGAGCTTGGAGGGAAGATGATAAAGGAGGAAAAATCGACAATCACAGAAGCAGGAAAAGGACAGAAAATGGAGCCCACCAAGGGGATGCAAGAGCATTGGGATGCCCAGTGGCAGGAGGTCCTGGAGACCCTCCAATCCGTTCACCCAGGAGGAGGAAACGCAGCAGCATCAGAGACGGTGCCATGGGAGGATACCAGGGCCTTCCTGGCCTCCTTCGAGCAAGTGGCCAAAGCCTGCCAGTGGCCCAAAGCAGAGTGGGCAGCCCGGCTCCTGCCAGCACTGAATGGCATAGCGGAAGAGGCCTTTCGGAGCCTGGAAGCCGGAGACAGGGAGGATTATGGGAAAGTGAAGGCTGCCATCTTGCGAGGGGATGCCCTGAGGATGGAGGTGAGACGCCAGCACTTCAGGCACTTCAGCTGCCAGGAGGTGGAAGACCCCCGGAGGCTTCACAACCAACTCCAGGAGCGTTGCCACCGGTGGCTGAGGCCGGAGAGGCGCAGCAAGGAGCAGATCCTGGAGCTGCTGATCCTGGAACAGTTCCTGGCCAGCCTTCCCCCAGACCTCCAGGACTGGATCCGGGCAGGAGGGCCTGACACGTGTTCCCAGGCCGTGGCCCTGGTGGAGGACTTCCTCATGAGCCAGCAGATGGTTCAGAAAGAGAAGTGGCAGGTATGGTTGTCATATGTATAATCATAGAGTCTCTAACAGGATGTAGAATGGGGTGTCGCTGGTCAGTAAAAAATTGGGAGCATGTTAAGTGTGCGTAATCTCATCAACTGATTGACTCCACATCAGGTCCTTTTTAATATGTAATTAAGAAACCATGCTTTGTGCCATTACAGTGGTGCCTTGCAAGACGATGTTAATTCGTTCCGTGAAAATCGCTGTCTTGCGAAAACATCGTGTTGCGAAATGTGGTTCCCCATTGGAATGCATTGAAATCTATTTAATGTGCTCCAATGGGGAAAAAATCATTGTCTTGCAAAAATCGCCCATAGGAAAACCATTTTGCAAAGCGTGGACCCAACTGTCAAAATTGCTGTCTTGTGAAAAACGGTCGCTATAAAAACCATTTTGCGAGTCGCGGACCCAACTGTCAAAATCGTCATCTTGTGAAAAACTGTCCCCCCAAAAAAGTCTTGCAAAGCACGGATCAAAACATCGTCTAAGCAAAAATCGCCCATAGGGAAAACCGTTTTGCGAAGCACTATAGCGATCGCAAAAACCCATCATCTTGCGGATTAACCATTTTGCGAGGTAACCGTCTAGCGAGGCACCACTCTATTGTAGTTCTTGCCATTGTTAATTAATGAAGTTGTAGGCAAACCAGTTGCAGAGTGCAACTGGGATCAAGAAATGAAGCTTGTATAACACATCCGATTATATTTGTGACAAGAAGTCACCACTTAAATTTTGCAAACCCAGTGTCTCTCTTCAAAAGTCATACTTGATGCTTAAAGATAACTGAAAAACCAATCATTGAAAATCAGTCCTATTTCATTACCATTCATTGAACCACAAATCTGCAAGACACTTTCAAACTCTTTATTTCTCTGTTTGTTTTTTTATATCAGTACAGTTTGCAGTCTTTACCACCCTTCTCCTCACAACAGCCTTGCAAGGTAGCTTAAGGTACCTGCATTCTCTTTTGATCATGGCCGTTGTTTTCATTATGAATTTTAAAAAATCCACAACTGGAGCCTTAAAGTTTCTTCACAGTGTATAACCTCAGTGATTACAAAAACACTTCACCTTGTTGAGTTTTATTCTGTTACGTGTACCATGCCATGCTATATATATGTGATCCCCTCTGATTTTGGAATCTAAGCAGCATCGGAGTTTGGTTTGTGCATGGGTGGGATCTCTATCAGTGGTTTCCAACCTTGAGTCCACAGAGATTCTTGGATTCAAGACTCCCAGAAGCCTTCACCACTAGCTGTGCTGGCCAGGATTTCTGGGAATTGTACTCTAAGAACACCTGTATACTCAAGGTTGGGAAGCACTGCTCTAGATACAGCCAAGAAGAAATCCTACCTGAAAACTACTGCCAGAGTTATTAATACTAGACTAGATAGACGAAGGTTTTGGCTCATTATAAAGTAGCTTCCGATGTCTTCATGTTCCTAATTCTGGCCGTTATTCTCTAGGAAATGAATTATATATGGGCATGGGTTAGCAAATTGGAATTGCATTACCCAGTTCATAATTATCTAGGATAAATAGCCAGGAATGGGATTTTTGAATTTCTGGACTCCTAGTACCATAATTCACTATTCTGTGAGTTCTACCTACCTTGCAGACACCTTACAAACAATTAATGCGGCTCACCCGAGAGAAAGGTCTAAATCAGAAGGCTCTGAGGCTCAGCTAGGCCTAGCTGTATCCATGCTTCTTGCTCAAAAAGAAAGCTCCCAGCCAGCCCTGCGGCAGGAACAGGACGTCTGGACGGAGCTAGGCCTAGTTAAGCCTCAAAGCCTTCCATTTTAGGCTTTTCTCCCAGGTAAGATGTCAGCAAGCTGGGTAGAACTCCCAGAATAGAGAAATGGTATTTCAAGTCAGCGTGGATTTGGTTTAAATCAAATTAATTTAAATCACAATTTAAAAATTTTTTTAAAATCAGGTTTTTTTAATAATTTAAATTTGAATTTTTTAAAAAAAATTTAAATTGTCATTTAAATTTACTTTATTTTATTTATTTGTTTGTTACATTTATAGCCCACCCATCTAGTCGTACTGACTACTCTGGGCGGGTGACAACATATCAAATCTAAGTACAATTTAAAAACATAACAACATATTACTAAAAAATGCAAAGAACCAGATAGGAGAGGCACAGAGAACAAAATCAGGCGGTGGATGGAGGGAAGGCTTGCTTGAACAGCCAAGTTTTCAGTTGGCGTTTGAAGATGCCCAGGGAAGGGGCCTTAAAAAAAAAATCAAAAAATTGATTTTTTAAAAAAACATAATACTGTACAGTAATAGATTTGTATCCACCCTTTTTCTAGTTCAGAAAATCTGGAAGCCCCATCCAAGCTTCACAGTATATCAAGGGAGTAGCTGAGATGGGGAGCTTTTATTTCTAGCAAAAACTGAATGAATGGACAGACCATTGAGTTGGATCTTACCTCCCTCTTTCAGGGACCAATGAAGGAGGAGTGTTTGGCCTGCCCGGAGGCAGAGGAAGGAGAGCCCTCCGTGGCTGTGGAGGGAGAAGTCTACAAAGAAACCATGCCAAACACTGATGCGCAGATCAGTGTGCTGGGTAAGGGATTTCCCAGCTGTTGTGCTCAAGGGTTCCACTCTTTCGGGAAGAAAGGGTGGCTGTTCTCTCTCCACCCTCTTATTATATTAGCTGTCTTCTTGTGGAAAGTGGCAGTCCAGCGGTACCTCTTTACCTGTGGACTGTGGTGGAGATGAGAGATGGGATTTTGGGGGCGGGGGGAGTGTAATTTTTTTAATTTAATTTTTTTTAAATATTTTCTCTGCCTCATTTTAAAACACCAGTCGATTTGACCTGCAGTCAAACCTATGATGATGGTTTTGGCTGCAGGCAGTTTCACAACTGGCCCCATAACAAGCCAGCAAAGAAACAGGTATTTTGATTTTAAAAAAAAACAGTTGCAGTGCATCAGCTATAGTCTGTATATAGCTAATAATAATAATAATAATAATAATAATAATAATAATAATAATAATAATAATAATAATAATAATAATAATTATTATTA